TACCACTGAGGTCCGCGCTCAGCCAACATGACTTTGTTAAGGAGCACTAAGCAGAGTACTGACAGTTGTCTCGATCCATGGTAGAGATACCATTGCAGCCTTGAGCATGGGCAGGGAGATCCTTTGAGACTGAACATCCTGTTCGCCTCAAACTTTCACCCACTGGTCCCCGCGTCCATCCATGGTTCTCACTTTCATCAGTTATTACGATGATGATCATCGAATGGCAGTTGTTCTAGTCCTTTCTTCCTTGTATGTTTGTTGGCTGACTTTCTACTTGTAAAGCTTTCCCTCCCCCCATTTCTACTTATCTCAGTGCCCTTGTGAATCATTCAACGGGCTGTAGTCCTTTATATTAGTAGTATTGATTTTGATGCTCTAATGGTTCCAGACATGGCCAGTAGAAGCCCATGAGCTGACTCTCGGATCTTTTTACCTTGACCCTGTCATTCTTCAAGATCACTATTTAAAAGCAGCTCTTTCCGGGTGGGTTGAGCCTTTTTCTATATTCCTTGACTTCCTGATGAATACTCAGGCAATTCCTCTGCCTGGTTAGAAAATTCCTGGCTCTCCCTGGTCTCCCCCCCCCCCCCGCCCCTCCAATGTCCCCATTGCAAAACAGGATTTTCCTACCAGGAGGCTCCATAAGTAACTGATGTGAATTAGCATGGCCATCTTCAAACACAGGACTATTTCATTTCAGCCAAATACTCAGGAAAGAGTCACACCCCGACCCTGCACTCCAGGAGCAGGCGGGCGCCAGCAGCCCACAGACACAGTCACCCTAATGGTGTTTGTTTTTCCCCTGTGTAAACCAAGCGATGATTGCGAAGGATTTGCCCTTTGCTTCCCTGTTGCTTTCCCAAAGAGAAAGCAAATTTTGATTCTGCTTAGCAATAAGGGCACCCAACAACTCCGTTCTTAACTTTAGGCTAGCCCTTGCTAAAAGGAGAGCAGAGTAGGAAGCTCACAAACGGGTCGTTTGGGGCTCAAGCTTACTTCAAAGGAGTGGGTATTTTTGCCACCACCGTGTTCTCAGGTAGGATGAGGAGTATATCCCTCATTGCACCTGGAAGTAGGAAAACTTCTTGCTAAAAGGAAGATGTGGATGTAGGAGTGACCTATGAAAGGGGAAATGAATTGAATTTGATTTGACACATCGTATAAGGAAGAATGATTGTAGATACGGGCATGCTGGGGCCAGGTGTGAATACATTAGTCCCCACCCTGCTCACCAGCTGGTCACACAACCTTGGACGTTAAAGCCTGTGAAGAGAAGGAATGTCTCTGGGGAAGGAAAACACGGGGTGGTGAGAGAGGGCAGAAACTGGAACCAGGAAGAGGCTGTCCCCACCGAGCTGCAAAGGCACAGAAGCATGGCCCACAGGTATGGAGCAGGTCTGCAGGAAGCCCATGTGGTATGCCCTTCAGGGGGAGTGTGGCGGAGAAACCAGACTGAAACTGACCCTGAAAGGAGGAAAACTTTCTGAACAGCTTGGGATTGCATGGCTTCGAAAAGCAATACAGACCTTGTGGGTTTCCAAGGTAGGAGGGAGCCTGAAAGCCATAGGTAATGATAAGAAGCAGGGAAGAGGTGGGTTTTGAATTAGGCTGATAAGTCCTAGCAGCATATTTTGGTGCAAGTTGCTCTATGGCCTCGGCCCCAGCAGCAGAAAGTAGGGAACAGGCTTTCTAACCTGGGTCTCTCTAGTTCCCAGGTCCATCTTGCTCAGCCTCTAGGGAGCTGGGAAGGGGAGGTGAGCCAGATGTGGTTCACGATGCACTGCCCTCTCCCCTCCTCTCCTGCCCTCCCTCCTCCTCTCCTGCCCTCCCTCCTCCTGGCCTGCCCTCCCTCCCTCCTTCCTTTCTTCCCCAGGTACAGCTTTTGAACCCACTACTATTCATATTTTATGATTGATATTTTATGATTAATATTTTATGATTGCTTCAGTCACATGATTATCTAAGTCCCCTCTTTCCTTTTCTTTGAACTTTTCTTTACTAGCTATCCTCCTGCCTTTAAAAAAATAATAATAATTAATTAATTAGGTCCAAGACAAACAAAGGTACTTGGAAAGGGTTGGGAATTCAGAGCTGGTTGTGGAGCTCCAGGGCAGGAGTAGAGAAGGGGAGGAGTCGGGGGAGGGAAAGAGATGCAAGTGTTACTCTTTAATCTGTCCTGTTTATCCAGGTGAGCTGTGAATTACTAGCAGGAAATAGGGACCTGGTGGGGGGGGGGGGGGGCTGCAGCTGGGAACACAACCTCAGGCTTTGAAAATGGGTAATTTAATTGAGAGTGCTCTGGAACAGTGCAAGGTTGTACACATATATTCCTAGCTCAGCTCCCCGGTGATTTTTCTCTCTCTCTGCAACCACAACCATCTTCACACTTGAGGTTCATGTCTTTCAATTGGTGTCACAGTTGATAGATATGTATCACGTGGCCCTCATTCCAGAAGCAAAGCTACTTGGCAGTGTTGATGCTGTAGCTTGTATGCATATGTCACAGCAGCTGAGTCACATCTTCCATGGGGGCAAGGCTTGCATGTTTTTAAAATTGCTGAATATGCTGTATCCATACAAGGCTAGGTAATATACTGGTCTTTGCTTATTCTGACTACGAACTTATGTATCCCCCAACAACACTGTGGGGGATGAAGTGACTGAGGCCCAAAGGTACACAGTGAGTAGGGGGCAAAGCTGGGCTGGGAACCAGGTTTTCTTTCTCCAGAGCTTGCCCTCATAACTCCTGAGTGACATGGTTGGCACAAACTGAAAATGTCTCCATTGGTCATAGAGAAACAAAATGCTTACAAGTCTTGCTCTCCATTTTAAGCCACATCTATTAGAAACCCCAAAATATTTTACTAACCGTCCCCAGAATGTGAGATGCTATCCTAAGTGCTAAGGGATTGGGCATGAGAAAGCACTTCCCTCATTGAGCTAATTTCCTCCTGAAAAGATGGATCAGAATCACATCTAAACAAAATGTCCAGTAGTAGCATTGGACATGCTGGGAAGAAAAATGAAGGACAATCAGAGTGACAAGAAATGGAGGGTAGGTGGCCCAGTGAAATCTTTTATAGATTTGTTAGCCTTCCCAAGAAGACTTCCGCAAGGGATTCTGTGCTCAAGATCACACTGACTTGGGTATGTGGTCGTTTTCTGGATACTTGAAAAGTTACTAAAAGATGAGAGGGTTAAAAGCAACAGAAGTTCATCCTCATGCTGGAATGAACTCACAGTACTAGAGCAGCCAGAAGTCTTGAAATTGGTATCACTGGGCTGAAATCAAGGGCCACACTCTTTCTGAGGTTCCAGGGTGAATTTGTTCCTTGTCTCTGTGACCAAATCCCCACCTTCCTCTCAAAAGCATTTGTAATTGTCTTTTGAGTCCACCCAGCTCATTGAGCAAGTTTCCACATCTCAAGATTTATCACTTCAGCACATCAGCAAAGACTTTTTTTTGCCATGAAAGGTAACATTCCCATACTCCAGGAATGGGGATGCGGATATCTTTCAGGGAGACGGTTTTCACCCTACTACAGGATGGTGTTTATGGATTTAATTTTTCAGTGCAGTAATCTAGTTCCCTGTGACCAACCAACCAATCTATGCTTCTTAAAAATTAAAATTAAAAAAAACACAACATGTCTTTTGATGCAAAGATTTGTGCTGTAGCATCCTCAGGAATCCATCCACAACTGAAAAGGGGAGGACAAAGACCAGCGAGGCAGCACCAGCCCACAAATGAGCCCTCTTCCTAGTGAGTGTATCTTTAAAGACAAGGGCCTGGGGCTGTGGGTGGTGCTGTCTGAAGGCTGTAGATATTGGAAACGAAGAATAACTTAGAGATCCTTGAACACTGATTTTTAGGGTTTTCGGAGCAGACCAAAATGGCCAGTTTTACATGAAGAGAAGATTTGGTTCAGAGGGAAAGGATGGAGTGAATCCAGTTTGGGAAGGAGCTAGGGACAGTGGGCCGGTGGGCAACAAGTCCAGTTTTACCAGGAAGCCCCCAGAGGGAATGTCTATGACCTGAGAAAGAATAGAGTCATGAATCCCAGCTGGGATGTCATCAATGAGCTGTGGAGGAGGACTGTTCACCTCACAGGACAGAAAGCGAGAGTGGAGGAGGAGGATCCAGGGACCCAACTAACTCTTTAATGCCACACCCCACAGTGACCTGACTTCTTCCCTCTAGGACCCATCTAAAGCTTCCATCACCAATAGTGCCACAGGCTGGAGAACAAAGCTTCACATATGGGCCTCTGGGAGCCATTTAAGATCCAAACTACTAGCCAGGCATGGTGGTGCCTGCCTGTCATCCCAGCAGCTCAGGAGGCTGATAACAAGTTCAAAGCCAGCCTCAGCAAAAGCCAGGCACTCAGCATCTCAGTGAGACCCTGACTCTAAATAAAATACAAAATAGGGATGGGGATGTGGCTCAGTGGTCAAGTGCCCATGAGTTCAATCCTAGACTACACCCCCCCCCACCAAAAAAAAGATCCAAACTACTACAGCACCCTTTCATGCTAGAGGAACTGACCTCTGGCAAGGAGCCCTCTCAAAACCTCTTCTGCCTCCTGTTTCTGCACAGTGGCCTTTACCTCAGTAAGATTCTTGTGTCCTCCATAAAAGGCACTGCACTAGACAAAGACACAGGTCCCTTCTCTCTGTGGCATTGTTCCATGCACATGTCCCTCATCTGTAAAGTGGGGATGGAATGAACAACTCATAGTGTTAGGAAAGGGTCAGGCACAGAGGCAAGTGTTAGCACCGTCTGGGAACTTTGAATGGGTGATTTCAAAGACATGGAGTTACTCTGAGGAACCAGCGCCTTCCCTCATCAATGTGTTATCATTTTGCCACAATTTTCAGCTTTTTAAATTTTGAGCATCTAAGAAGGACAAACAAACTTACTCCTACTCACATGTCGTTCATAATGTTCTCTCCCTTCTACACTTTCTTTTCCAGATGGTAACAAAAAAATAATCCAGATGGGGTGCAGGTGCTGTAAAATGATACAAAGGTAAAGTTGAACAAAGACTTCTTCTAAATGGAGGGATTTTTGATCATCATGAAGCTGCTTTCAAAAACCATGTATATAACATCAATTCAAAAATAATGAAAATAAAGAACATGCATGTATTCAGTGCCTTGGGGCATGATCGACATTGCCAATGCCTCACGTGTAAGGCCCTGTTTGGGTGACACTTAGAGGAAATGTGGCCTAAATTTTTAAGCTTTTCTTGCTCACTGCTCAAAACATGCTGGGAACATCATCATTCTCTGAGACTTAAATTTGGTTTGGGCTCAACTGACATGAGAGAATGTCAATAAAAGAAAGCTTGAGTTTCAGAGGATACCTGAAACAGCATCATTAAAAATGAATCCCCCAGACCCACAAGGTACCTATAATTTTGTTCATAATAAATTTCATAAATTGTTATGTAATATTAACTGTCAGGGGGAACAAATTAAATGAAGATCTTGCTTCCTTAACAAATAACACTGCTTTTGCTCAATTCCAAACACATATAAATTTGACTCCTCTGTCATTATTGGATGTTTGGAGTTTTTAAAAAATATTTATTAAAAGTCCAGTCAGTCCTCCACATTCCTGGCTTCTATGCCCCCGGAGTCAACCAACCACTCATCAAAAATATTCAGAAAAAAATGACATCTATACTGAACTGTGCAGACTTTTTTCTTGTTGCTTCCTAAAAAGTCTAGTCAAAACTATCTGCATAGCATTTATGTTGTGTTAGGAATAATAAGTAATCTTGAGGTGATTTGAAGTAAAAGGGAGGCCACATGCAAATGTAGGCCAGATGCAAATACAATACCATTTTATATGAGAGAAGAGCATCCAAGGATTTTGGTATCCAGGGGGGTCCTGGAACCACTCCCCCAGTAGACCCTGAGGAACAAAGTTTGTTTTTTTTTAATGCCACTATAATCTTCATACTTATCATTTTAATGACTACATAAAATCCCATCAGGGAGATAAACCATCAATAAGATACTTAACCCCTTATTTTCGATTTGTGGACATTTGTTGTATCTACTTTTTTTTTAAAGATTTTTTTTTAAATGGACACAATATCTTTACTTATTTTATTTATTTTTATGTGGTGCTGAGAATCAAACCCAGTGCCTCACACGTGCGAGGCGAGCGCTCTACCACTGAGCTACAACCCCAGCCCCTGTTGTATCTACTTTTTTATTTTAAAATTTCACAAATCACTTTGTAGTCTACCACTCGCCTCCTTCGGGAACTCTGGTTAAACTTTCCTACTAAGGGTAGCATAATTTTTATACCAACTATATCTATTAGAGTTAGACCCACTTATCTGGGGTTAAAAGTATAATCACAAGAACTAGTTCACGCCCCACTCCTCCGTTAGGGTACAAACTGACTGATTCCGCTCTTTTCGCCCCCAGCTATCTCTTCGATCCTGTTCCAGTGGCCTCCCCGGGCTACATCAATGAAGTCAGCAGCTGCAAGTTGGATGAAGATGACCCTGTGAAATTCAAAAGCAATCAGAGCAGCGAGATCCTGGTGCATAAAAATGTCCTTGCAAGTGAGGGCTTCAAGAGGTCGGAGGGTAGAGGCCAGAGAGCAGGTCCCCAAGAGCCCTGCTGGCCTCACCAAGAGCCGCTCCCGCAGGAGGATGCAGGAGGTGGACGCTGGGAGGAGAAGCCTGGCAGTGCAGTCAATGGCATGGGCCCCACTGCAGCTCTGCAGCCCACCAGGAACCCCAGGTCCCACCAGAGGGACAAGGGCTCCAGGGCCAGTCCTACAGACAGTGTGCACCCCACTCAACCCTTCCTTGAAGGAGGGGACACCAGGAAACAGGACTGTGTGCTGCCAGCCTTGGAAAAGACCCAAGTCGTCCCAAGTGGGGACTTTGAAGTTCCTTCTAAGGTGGAAAGTTTTGCCTTGGAAGTACAAGGTCACGACCTCCAGATACCAACCCCGGATTACCCTCAGCTGTGGGGCACAGCTGTACACAATGTGGATCATGAAGAAAAGGATTATCTTTTCAAGAACCCCAAGGAGGATGAGCCTCTGGCGGGAATTCTTCCCAGGGTGGGCGAGCACGGTTTGAACATGCCCTTCCCCAGGAGGAGAAGCTGGGACTCATTAAATGAGGCGGTGACCACGGAAGTTCTAAGCGTCTACTTTAAAGAGGAGGGTCCTATCACACCTGTGGTCAATTCCAGAATTGAACAGGAGGAAACGGATGGTTCTGATGGAAACAGGGATGGGGAGGTAGTGGATGAGGATGCGGCAGTGGCAGAAGCCCTCGCGGCATTAGAAGCTGCTACTGCAGGAGAAGACTTGGATGAGGCAGATTAGAGGAGGGAAATGGTGCAGGCAAGAAAGCAAGTGTCATGCTGAGCAAGTGGAGATGCATTTGCTCCTTGGACGTGCAGCTGATCCTTTTGCCAGCACACCCGGGTACAGCTGGCCAGGTGTTCACATCCAGCACCTGTTCCAGGGGTCAGCATTGTGCCATGCCACCTGCAAAATATTTGGAGCATCACTCTGTGTAAATAAGTTATCATTGAGGACACTAAAATAAAAATCAGAGTGGGCTTCTGTATCCACATCCACAACAAATGCAGATATTAAATAGCTGTTTGCTAGACCTCCATGGTCTCCAGAACATCTGGCACAGATGTCCATGAGGATGCTCTGAAATGCCAACAAAGGCACACAAGCATGGAGCATTCTGTCCAACTGCAGATTCTTGACCCTACTTTCGATTGCCAAACATTGTACCCCACCCAGAAAAGGTAGCTATCTGCTTAAAGTGCCTACGGTGTCCCCAGAGCATGGCTTAACTTCAGGGACAAACACCCAGGGAACTAATAACTGACCCCTTGTTGGATGGTGAGTTAAGCTCGGCAGCTCTCAGGTGAACTGAGCCAACCAGCAAACACGTGGGTAGGCATCAGCCGTCATCTTAACACACCTTGACCTTAACTTTTTTACATTATTACTTTTTAATCTCCTTTGGGATTGGGGAAGATGGCCAAAATAATTCTTAAATTTTGTCATATTTGTGTTTTAAGTTTATGAGTTTTGGAACAGCAAAGCCATATAAGGAATATTTTTATGCCATTAAACTGATTCTGAATAAAATAGACAGCATGCGTGTCTCTCTGTCTTGACTCAAAGGAGGGTCTAACTTTCCCAGACTGAATATCACTGAGTGATATCTCTTTCAACTTGACTGTAAAGTTACAGTCAAGGAAGAGACCAAGTTGATTTATAGTGCCTGGATTTGGCTCTCCGTTCCTCAAGTTCAAACTCTGGATACTCTGATGACCTGCGTGATATGACCTTAAAATGAGCAAGTGCACTCTAGGTTTCAGCCTTCTGATTTATAAGAACAAGAACAGCATTCTGACACTGTGCCTTGGAGAATTTAGAGAGGTTAAGGATGGTCAAAACTATCTAGAAAAATATTAACCTAGAATATGTTTTGGTTTGGTCTTTTGTAACATGGGCCCTGCCACTAAACTCTTTTCTCTTTGCCCGTCTGTTAATGGAAAATATAATAATAATATGTATTGTAAAAATTATTGGGAAAGTCGGGCTGGGGTTCTGTCTCAACGGTAGAGCGCTTGCCTAGCATGTGTGAGGCACTGGGTTCGATTCTCAGCACCACATATAAATAAATAAATAAAATAAAGGTCCATTGACAACTAAAAAAAAAAAGATTAGGCAAGTGTTTAGTATAGTGCCCGGCACACAGTAGGCACTCAAAAAATGATATCTTATTAGCTAAAAGTAAATTCTTTTAAAAATCTTTTATATCCTCACAACTGAAAACTCTAATACTGTGAAGGATTTATAACATCACTGCTTTATTTTAGTAATTACTCACCATAAAACACAATTTCTGAGCCTTCCAGCACCTTTAAGGATGACACGCTTACCAATGTCTAGCGAGCGGCCATATCTGGGTTGTTTGGAGTTGCAATGACAAGCCACCTCCACATATGAGGCCTCTCAGAACCCTTAACGGGTAAACTATCGACCTTGTGAATTGCGTTGAAGGTGTATGCTGCTGGATTTATTACACCAAATGTTTAATATTTCAGAGTGTACATGATTTCAACTCTTTCCCAAGTTCATCAGTTGGAATTATGTTCAGCTGCATGGGATAAATGGCTTCTAAAAGCAGAGGTTTCTAAAAAAAAAAAAAAAAAATTCTGGGGCTAGCAGTCCAGGCTGGTGGAGCATCCTGTGCATCGGTGATCCATGTTCCTTCCAGCAACTTGGCTTCTTTTCGGTCCAAAATGTGAGGGCAATCTGGCTGTGACAGATGTCACTCCATTGATCACCAGGGTAACATTCAGCTGATCTGGCTGGCCAGGCGGGTGTCCCCTTCCACCCTCACCACTCCATGTGTGTCCCTCCCAAAGATGTGGGCTCAGCCAAAGAGGACGAACTTCCCCAATAGATAGAGGAGGACCATTCTTCTATCAAGGGTATACAAATAGCTGCACTCCCCTGCTAGAACCTCCAAATAAGCTCTGCAAATGACCTGCCTCTCCATGATTCAAATTGGTCCATGCTCATGGTTTCCTCATTGTCCAAAATGGCGGCTATGGCTCCAAGTCATTACATTTGCTTTCCATACAGGAAAGAATAAAGGGATCAAAGATCACACTCTCTTTCTATTAAGAACCTCCCCAAAGTATAATTCAACCCTTCCACTTTTACTTCATTGGTCAACATCTGGTCACTTGGCCACATCTAACTGCAAAAGAGGAAAGTCATCAGCCCAGTTGTGTACTTGGCTTTCTCAAATAAACACGGGATGTTTATTTTGTACCAAAAAGGGGGAGAGTGGATGTTGAGTTTTGAGGTGGCCAACTTAGTCTCTGCCACAGCAGATCCTCAAAACCCAAAAGCCTGGGAGAGAGCTGGTTGGCAAAAGCTGGAAGATTGTGTTCACATTGACTGTGGCACGGAAGGGACTTTAGCCTATGATTCAGGGAAGTAAGGACTGGACAACTGCCACCATTCCCACTCCCCTCTAGCACCTCCAAAACAGATGCACCATCCTTAGCCAGTTTCCTCACACCTCCAAAATTCAGACAAGGAAAGGAAAAGGAAGGTATTAGCCACTAAGCCTTGCCTTTTCCAGAAACACACTTCTGCACTACAAATGCATAGAATCTTATATCAGACCTGCTGCAGAGCTCCCCATAACTGACAGCTCTCTCAAATTTTATATATCTTAAAATATAAAATTATATATATATATATATATATATATATATATATATATATGTGTGTGTGTGTTTTATGATTATATATAATAGATAAATTATATGTATATGAAAATAGCATTTTGCAATACTTCAAAGAGTTAACAGATGGCTTAAAATTTCAACCTCCCCCTGCCCCAAGGCAATCCTGACCCTTTTTATCTTTACCCCTATATTCAGGCTTCCCCAAAGAACATCCAAGGAAGGTCAGATGTTTACACTGGAAGGAATTCCAGACTGGCTTCATCTCCCAGGTGGCCTCACAGCTGGCTGAGCATCCTCCCTGTGTAGTGTGTAGTGTGTAGTGTCTTCTTTTGCAGCATGGAGACACTTCTCAGAAAAGTGGTGTTGAAGACGTGACCCTTTACAAACTCCTGGACAATTTGGAAGCACTGATGCACCTGACAGTGACGCAGCAAGTGTGACCCATGCATCACCATAGTCCACCATCCTTAGCCAGTTACGGCATCACCAAATTTACCAAGTTAAATCTCAGTGTTGAATTAAGATTATTTTACTGATATAGGACATGTAGGTTCCTTGAGTTAAGAACTTATGTTGGGCTGGGGATGTGGCTCAAGCAGTAGCGCGCTTGCCTGGCATGTGTGCAGCCCAGGTTCGATCCTCAGCACCACATACAAACAAAGATGTGTGTCCGCTGAGAACGAAAAAATAAATATTAAAGAAACTCTCTCTCTCTCTCCCTCTCTCTAAAAAAAAAAAAAAACTTAGGTTTAACTTTTTACTGGGAGAAATTGCACTATCGTATAAATATGAAATTCAATGTCTTTCCTGGGTTGCTGAGGCAGACAGTAGCAAATTGTTATAACTGACAAACCAGATCCCCTGAAGAATGAAGAGAATTTTAGGTTGCCACATAGTGCATGCTCATCCGTCTTGGCTATATGTCCTGTCCCTTGCTACCCCACTCTGCCTCTGTTCTCTTCCTACCTCTTTCATCAGTACCTCTAAGCAGGCCTATGAAGAATGAATGAGATGTGAGCAAAGAGATCCTGATGTCCCTAGCTTGGTCATCTGTGTGCCCTGTGTCACTGTACCAGGACCTGGCCTCCAGTCTTGAACTTAGACTTACTTTTTCACCAAAAGGGCACCTGTTTGCACACATGATGGAAAATAGGGAAATTCTTCCTTTTTTTTTTTTTTCTCTCTCTCTAGATAAAACTTCATTTGTTTTTAAATACTCTACCCTGACCATATCTTGAAACTTGGTTCCTCGGTTTCATCACCTGTAAATTGGAGATGATGGCTGTACCTCTCCCTGCACTGTCATGAGACTTACATGACATACTAAATGGTTAGCATATATCCAGCTCGAGGTAGATGGTAAATGTCAGATGTGACTCTATTCCTGGCTAAGGTCATTGGCCACTTTCCTGAGGAGCATTCAACACACTTTGAAGTAACTGAAACTTGATTGCTACCCACGAAAGTTCTCCCGACCTCTTCTAACAATAGTAACTTCTTTTTCTTTCTTTCTTTTTTTTTTATTTATTTGTACCAGGGATTGAATCCAGAGTCACTTAACCACTGAGCCTCATTCCCAGCCCTTCTTATTTTTTATTTAGAGACAGGACTAAGTTGCTTAGAGCCTCACTAAGTTGCTGAGGCTGGCTTTGAAGTTGCCATCTTCCTGCCTCCACTTCCCAAGATGCTGAGATTACAGGCGTGAGCCACCATGCCCAGTGTAATTTCTAAAGTGGATAAATAAATCCTTTTCTACCCACATCAATAATTATCATCTAAAGAAAAAAATGCAACGTGGGTCACTTAAAGTTTTTATTTTCATTATTATGGGATGATTGTGCTTGTTTTTTTAACATTTTTTTTTACAATACCTTTACTTTGTTTACTTTTTATTTTTATGTGGTCGAATATAAAAAGCTCAATCTGAGGATCGAACCCGGGGCCTCACACATGCTAGGTGAGTGCTCTACTGCTAAGCCACAGCCCCAGCCTCTGGTTTGGTTTTTATTTAGCATGGCTTACTCAGAGATATTGCCTTGGGTCATAATGTTATCACTCCAAGAGTATTTTGCCTAAGATTTCTCA